GGCAGGGCTCAGACATGCACCTGGAACATTTGTCACAGAGAAACATGTGATGTGAATTATTCGCCAGATATGACAAGAAAGGTCTCTAGTTCAGTTTCCAAATCAGTCCTTACTTTACCTGAAATCTTAGGAGAAAACCTTTAATTTTTTGAATTCCTATCACCATGCTGGTCTCCAGAACCCTCAGACGACTTGTCCATGAACTTCTCATAACATTCTAAGTATTCCTATTCTGCTTCTCCTAAATTGCTGAACCACCCCCCCCCCCAACCTGTTCTAAATGTTCTGACATCACATCACTGGACAGAAACACCAATGAGCCAGTTTCTAAGCGCTTGTTTCCTGTGTCAGCCAGCTTTCTGTTAGCACTTAACAAAATATCCTAGATAATCAGATGGTGTGGCCTCACATTCTGTTTCCCTTCTGTCTGTGTGCTGTGATTACCATTAATGAATAAAGAAACTGCCTTGGCCTCTTGATAGGGCAGAACTTAGGTAGGTGGGGAAAACTAAATGGAATGCTAGGAGAAGGAAGGCACAGAGAGAGAAGCAATGGAGCTGCCACCAGAGTCAGATATGCTGAAATTTTGCCAGTAAGCCACTGCCACTTGGCGATATACAGATTAATAGAAATGGATTAAATTAAGATGGAAGAGTTAGCTAATAAGAAGTTAGAGCTAATGGGCCAAGCAGTGTTTTAATGAATACAGTTTTTGTGTGATTATTTTAGGGCTAAGTTCGCTGGGCGACTGGGACAAACAAGCGGCCCCATAAAATAATCAGATTAAAAGAAGAAGGGTCTGTGGTATTTATGGATTTATTGATTGGCTGATTGTCTTATTTCCCACAGTTTCAGGGATTTTCAGAGTTAGTCAGTCAGCCCAGTTGCTTTCAGGCCTGCTACAAGGCCAGTGCATGACTGTGACAGTGGACTGGGGGAAAAACTGACCACCTGAGTGAGTGCTTCTAGGATACAGAAAGAGAGGGCAGAGGTGCAGGGCCCAAGAGTCTGTGTAAGAGAGAATGTGTAAGAGAGAAAGTGGCAGAGGAACCCTCTTGCCGCTGGCATCTGGGAGACAGAAACAGAAGTATTTGGGTCTCACTGTTCCTTTCAGTCCCACACTCACCATAACCAGACTTTCTTCCATGAAACCCTTCATCTTAAAAGTCTCAGTGTCTCCCATAGCATGGAATCGGTTAGTAAGCCTTGCTGCTTGACGGACATTTTAGGATACTGTTAAAGAACTTCATTTCGCATCTTCCTCTTTGATCCCTGACTCACACCTTGCAAACCTTCCCACTGAACCAGGCTTATAGCCCCATATTTATCCACATATCTTTCCTCTGTAGGTTTGGTCAAGTTATTTCCACCACCCAGAGGCCCGTTCCACCTTGAAGTTTATTCTGATGGTACACAACTAAGTATTAATTTTAAAGTTACTGAGTCATGAGTAGCTACATGAGTTAACCTAAGGAGCAGGCAGGACTGTGTTTGGATAAATTGTTGCTCATATTGCCTATCCCTCTACCAATCTGGCTTATGCAATATAAAAATTCATAACTCTGTTTATTTATAATAAACTCTAATATCAACACAGTATTAATTTCTAATCTTAGTTTATCATGGCTGCTGATAGCGATAATGTTCCTCTCACTTGGGAAGGCAAAGTCATTGATGTTAGGGTCGCATTCTGAGGAATGACATAACTGTGATTTCCACATTTGTGCACTATGTGTCCCTTCCAGAAAAGAACATGCCATTTAGCTATGACAAGTGCAGTCACCTGACAGCTTCCACCGGCAGTGCCTTTGGGATCTGCCATGGCCTTAGCAATGTGGCAGCATAGCTCAGCTCTCAATACATCTCACCGCCTCTCTACAATACCTGGGCGTACAGAATCACCAGTGTAATTCCTGCCCGCGCTGCTCAGCTTCAGGCTGTTTTCTCAGTACCCTTTGTGTTGGAGAGATGCTCAGGGCATCACTCCAGAGTACAAATCTTTCTACCCAATCCCTCTTTTCACAATTTCTTGGTTCTGGGTCAGCCCTACACTGAAGCCTGAGGCTCTCTCTGCATACATTCCGTTTTCTGTTTGCACTTTACTTTTCATGGGTATCATCACAAACATTCTCTCTCTCTCTCTCTCTCTCTCTCTCTCTCTCTCTCTCTCTCTCTCTCTCTCTCTCTTTCTCCTCCCCACTATGTGTATGTCACTCTCTCTGCGTGTATATATGTGTGTTTTTCATGTGTGTATGTGATCCTATGTATGGACGGTCCCTTGCCCAAGTAAGCATATGTGTAGACTGTGTGGCTGTTGATGTCAGGGTATCTTCTTTAATTGCTTCTCCATTTCCTTTTTAAAGACACTAAAATAGTGCATGTAGATGCCTCGTGTGATGTATGCATATTTGAGCAGGTGTATGCATGTGGTTGTTAGAGGATTTACTTTGTGAAGTAAATTCTCTTCTTCCACTTTTATGTGAACTCCATGGGTAGAACTCTGGTCTCCAGGCACGTGTGGCAAGTATCTTTACCCACCAAGCCATGCTCTCTGTTTATGTATTGTCTTTTGAACAGGGTCTCTCATCGAAATTGAAATTCACTGTTTCAGCTAGATTGCTTGACCAATGAGCCCCTAGGATCAACCTGTCTCTGTCTTCCAGAGCTGGGGTTATAGGAGCAAGCAGTCTTGCCTGGCTTTTGAGTCAGGAGAGTGGACACACAGGAGAGTGGACACACAACAGAGTGACCACCACACAGGAAAGTGGACACACAGGAGCTGCCGTCCCCTTTAGGGCATGTACAAGTTCCTAATCTTTTATTGCTTTACAGCAGTTTCTCTTGGCATCAGAGATACTAATTTCCAAGCTTAAGAAGTGTATGAAGAAGGAAAGATGTGTCGATGGGAGAGGTCATTGACCTACTGTAAAGTGAGGCCACCCTTGATGCCCTGTGCTGTGTATGGCCACAGAGTCATCCTGGAGAATGTCACTAAGAAAAGAACCCAATCCTTCTGTTCTTAAACTGCGATTCCCCTTCCCACCCAAAGGACACCTGTAAATGGTTGTCACCAATGCCCTGTCTTACAGTCTGAGGGGCATTTCGATCATAAAATGGGATAGACTGAATTGGCATAGCATCAACCTTAGTTCTGAAAACAGATGCAAATAGCAAGAAATATGACCTAACCATGAGGACACTGGTCAGCAATCACACCTCACAGAGTTATGTTCTGTGAAATTATGGTTTTCATTCTGGAATGGTCCACACCAACTCATATTTTTAAATGCTCAGGTCCAACTTGGACACTGTTTTGAAGGCTGTAGATCCTTTAGTGGAGCCTGGCTGGTTGGGTGTCATTAGGGGTGGAACCTTAAAGGCTTTACCTCATGTCTTGCCATGTTTTCTCTGTTACCTTGTGGACAAAGTGTGTGTGTGCAAGCTTTGCCGCCATGAACTGAACTGCTCCTGCCCCCTGTCAGAACTTTTTAGCTCCGTTTTACAAAAGCAACTAAAACACAGGAGAACCACACATCTGAGGCTAGCCTGGACTATCACAGTGAGTTTGAGGCCAGTCTGGACTGGACTAAGTGGCAAGATCCTGTCAAAAAAAAAAAAAGTAAACTAAACATGAACCAAAGAAAGAGATGTGGATGTCCATGTAGGGTAGTTTTCAAATTACAGGGTGTGGCCTACTATCTTATACAAAGCAGGTACTCACTAGGCATGTTTTGATTTGATGGTAGAGAATCATTTCTAGCTGAATGGCTCTGCTCTAAGCATTATGCAGACACTTGGATGTAATTAAGAAATGTGCCTTCAATACAGTACGTTATAAACACCAAGGTTACTGCAATGAAGAAAAGGAGATGAGCTACGATAGGAAAGGAATACATTCTTTGGGACAATACCCTCTCCTCCCAAATTATAGCTTTGTTGCTTTTTTTTTTTCTTCATAATGAATGTGTTTAAAGAAAAAAAAAACAGTAAGAATGGTCAATGAGAAAATAAAAGGGAAACCCAGGCACTATTAACAAGCATGAATTAACTCCATCAGCATGGTAGCTTCCTCACCCTCTGAAAGATAGAGTAGCAAGCTTTCATTTTCTCCGGATGTTTACTTACTTAGCTACCCATATCATGGACTCACTCCTCAGTGACTTTGATAGGCCCCATATGCTCTAAGTAAGTGTCAGACAGACTCATCTTAGAAAAAAGAACCACTTATCCAGTAATAAAAGCCATGCAAGTAGTTCATTTCATCTTAATTAGCCCAAGATGATGCTTTTGAAGTGCTCTACTTTCTTATCAACACCATGCCTCCTGCTGCATGGGAAGGAGGTTTTGACATCTCCAACAACGCAAGTCTCAAGAACCAGAATGGGGACACACACATCCTGCCCCTGTGCTGTCAAGGGACCTTTAACAGTGTGTGCCTACATGACTGTCCCTTTTCTTTTGGATAAGTGATACTTGTAATGTTGAGAGGGCAAGGCAGTGACGCCTGCTCTCTGTGCTCAACACTGCGATGTGTACACCTACTGTGTGGAAGGAGGCTACTAGGCATTAGCATGTGCACAAGCGAGTCCCTCTTTTATCGGGGACTCCATTAGAAATCAAAGAGGGTAATATCATTTCTTTAGGGGTACATTGATTACTTATTTCTGCTCACCCTTTTCCAATTGCTTGCTTAAGACTGGATCTGGTATACAGGATACATCTAGATGGCCATAGAGATACCTCTCTTTCATATTTTCTATTTCTATTTGGTAGCAGGAACGGAGTTTTCAGTGACCTGGAGTGTGTGTGTGTGTTACCAGAAAACAAGAGTCAAAATTTCCCCCATCTAATTAGTCAGCATCCTGTGCAGTCTGCTGGTGGCACAGCCACTCCTAGCCTCTCCTCCCAGTCACTTCATTTACACATTGTTCTCACTCAGCCTCTCACAGGAAGGCATCTTTTGGAAAGTGCTGCAAACACTACGTGTGAAAAAAATCAGGATGGTATAAATAGCTTTCCGATTCTTACTGCAACTTGCTGGCTCTCATTTTGTTCTCGGCAAGCTCTGGGAAAGAACGGAGCCAAACAGCAAGCATTGGATGCTGAGGACACAGAGCCTCTGCCTGCTTCTTCCAGAGGTCAAAGGACCAGAGGGAACTACAGGATCTCCAGGACACCACGCTAGGCTGGAAGGAGCCCATTGCTACAGGCAGTGTCCAGCCACACCACGGAGAATGGCTTCTTGGAGCAGGTGAGAGATCAGCTTTTCCATGCCAAGCTCCATCCTTCAGGCTTTCCTCTGGACCTCTGCATTGTGCTGGAACTGAGAGTCCAGGCTGTTTGCAGGTTTCATGCCTATAACAAACCATGACCTCAGACTATACACTGGTAACAAGGCCTCCACACGTTTGCCAACTGGAAAAGCCACTGGAAGAATTAAAGAGTCTAGGGAAGGGTATGTCTTTTCTTTCTGCTGGGGCTAAGCAGGGCAATCTCTGTGGGAGAACACCTCCCCGGAAGAGAGTCAGTTGAAGTATGTGAGTTCATAAAATTAACTTGTAAGATTCGAGAGATTGTGAGAGGTTAATTCAAACAGAGGAGGCAAGCTGTCATTAAACCACAACATTGCAAAATCACACCCACTTGCATGTCTGGGCCGCATGGGTGTCTCTCAGTCCAGACAGCAAGCTGCATTCCACATGACCTGATAAGCTGCCCCCACCCCCATGTTCAGTTCATAGTGTTTGAATCAGACTCTGAATCTCTATTACACACAAGTCACATGCAGGCCCACAGCTCTACTCTGTAAGAAAGGGACAGCTGGGAACTTCCTGTGGCCTTACAGAGTCATACAAGAAAATGAATATAACATTTACTCAATAGTTTGTTTCCTGTGCCCTACATTCCAGAGCTAAGGATAGAACCATGAACAAAACAGATGCAAATCCCTCCCCCCAATAACCATACTTTTTTATGAGGAGAAGCAAACCAAATACAGTGAAATATAGAATATGTTGGATGATGTCAACTGCAAGGAGAAAAAATGGCAGGAAGAGAGAAAAGGCCTCTTTGGGAGAGGCTGTAGGATGTTGCTTCTTTTGAGGGCCATTCTACCAGACATTCAAGCATGACTCCCTTTGTTTTCCTGGACTCAAATGTCACCTTTCTATCACGCTTCCCTGGTCATCGTTGTAGTTCCCATAGACTCATGTGTTTGAATGCCCATAGGGAGTGGCACTGTTAGGAGGTGTGGCCTTGCTGAGTAGGTGTGGCCTTGTTAGAGGAAGTGTTCCACTGTGGCGGCAGGCTTTGAGGTTTTCTATAAGCTCAAACTGTGACCAGTGTAGGACAGTTTACTTCCTGTTACCTGCAGATCAAGATGTAGAACTCTCAGTTACCTCTCCAACACTATGTCTGCCTGCATACTGCCTTCCTTCTGACTATGACAATAACGGACCAAACTTTTGAAACTGTAAGCCAGCCCCATTTGAATGTTTTCCTTTTATAAGAGTTACTGTGGTCATAGTGTCTCTTCACAGAAACAGAAACCCTATCTAAGACAAAAGTTGGTGCCAGGGACTGGTAATAGGTCTGAACATATTTGTTTGGACGAAAATGAACTTTGGGACTATGAATTAAAAAAAAAAGAAAACATTTGAATGTTTAAGTGGGTCTCAATGGGCCATCTTAGTAGGAACATGGAAGACAGTGGTGCTGAGTGTGATGTGAACTGTGGGTGCCTGGATCAAGAGGTTTCAGAGGAGAAGAATGTTAGCATGCAGCCTCTAGACTGGTCTTGTGATAATTTGGTTAAAAATGTGGCTGCTTTTTGCCCTTGTCTGAAAAGTCTGCCTGCAGCTAAAGTGGGAGTTTTGGATTAATTCCTCTGGCAGAGGAAATCTCAAAACAGCCTAGTATAGACTCTGTCATTTGGTTACTAGTGCTAACTCTAATGAAGATTTATAATGAAAGGGAACAAGCTAAGCAAGTGAAAATAAAAAATGTACAGACTGAGAAGAAAAGGGGCACCAGGAGGTAGAATGGAGCCAATTCTGTGTTCAAGGAGATAAACAGATTCAGACTTGGAACAAAGGGAGTGGTGACCTCAGGGCAAGATCCCACCCAGCTAAATTTCCAATTTCTGAAAAGGAACTAAAGAAAACTTAGGGCCAAGTGTGGTGATGCACGCCTTTAATCCCAGCACTCAAGAGGCAGAGGCTGGCAGATCTTTGAGTCTGAGGCCAGCTTGGTCTACAGTTCCAGTTTCAGGACAGCCATGGTTAGGCAGTGAAGAAAACCATGGAAAACAGAAAGCTGGTGATGATATAAATAAATGAGGGGGTCATGTTCCACCCCCACTAAACAGCAGAACTTGGCGGCTTCAGTCACATGGTTCTGGCTTTAGAATCAAAGATAGAAGAAAGGGGTCATGGAATCTCCTTCCATGACTGAGGAAAACCAACAAGGCCAGGCATGTGTCAGGGGTGTCCCTGAATGAAGGCCTAGAGAGGCCATTGTGGAAATCTGTGAAGTTGAATCCTGGATTGCTTTGGAGATCCCAAGATGCTGGAGATACCAAAGTCATGGAATACCTGCCGAGGAGAGTTGATTACAGGGAATAAAACCAGCCCAAGAGAAAAGATATATGTTGCAGTCAACAAAGCTGAACAGAGTTGGAGATCTGAAGAGCGCTTTGCCATCAGATACACAGAGTTTGGAGTTTGTCTAGCTGATTTTTGGTATTCAGTATTTCCTCACTATGCTCCCCTTTCCTCCATTCTGGAATGGTAATATATAACAGGAATGCATAATATGTTGGTAATAGGAAATCTGTTTTTTATTTTTATTTTACAGGGGATTACAATTAAGAGATTGCATTAATTTGAGAAAAGACTTTGAACTGTGAACCTTTAAACATCGCTGAGACTTTGGTAGACTATTGGGACTTTTGAAATTGGACTAAAATGCATTTTGAATTATGTTATGACTACAAATCTATAGGAGCCAGGAAGCAGAATGTTGGGGTTTGAATAGGTATGACCCACATAAACTTATATATCTGATGCCTGTAGGGAGCGGCACTGTTAGGGGGTGTGGCCTGGTTGGGGTAGGTGTGGCCTTGCTATAGGAAGTGTGTTACTGTGGAGGTAGGTTTTAAGGTCTTATATGCTCAAGGTATGTCCCATGTGAGACATGGTTGTTTCTGTTGCCTGTAGTCAAGATGTAGAACTCTCAGTTCTTTTGCCCACACCATGTCTGCATGCACTTAGCCTTGTCCTGCCATGATGATAATGGACTAAATAAATCTCTGAAACTGTAAGCCAGCCTCTTTAAATGCTTTCTTTATATGAGTTGTTGGGGTCATGGTATCTCTTTACAGCAATGGAAACCCTAATTCATTTATTTTAGACAATCATTTTAGAATTGAAGCCTGGCACCCTGAGGCATGAGCAGGCCTTTTCAGACTGACCCCCTTCCTCCTATTGCCTTTTTTAACTACTCATGCAAAACCAACCTCCTTGGTTCTAGCAAGGAAGGTGTAACTGGGCTGAAAGGTCAGTAGGTGTGCAGTTTCCTCATGGATAAGTCATACAACCATATTTTCCAGCCATTCTTGACATCTACCTTCTAGGAATTTAACATACAGTTCTCTTTGTTGACACACTAGATGAGATCTCCACGCTTGCTTAAAAGACTTGATACAGGTATATTGTTAAGGGGGGGCACAGAAGGGAGAGCACTACTGGAAAAGGGGTGCATTTTGAGGTCAGGTAAAACCTGGCACAAGGGAACCTCCCAGAAATCTACAATGATGCCAGCTAAGATGCCTAGCAATAGTGGAGACATAGCCTGAGCTGGCCATCTCCCATGACCAGATTGGTGCCTCGCCCAATTGTCATCAGAGGGCTTCATCCAGCAACTGATGGAAACGGATGCAGATCCATAGCCAGACATTAGGCTGAGTTCAGAGAAATCCTGAAGAACTGGGGAGGAAAGATTGTAGCAGCCAGAGGGGTTAAGAACACCCAAAGAAAACTCACAGAATCAAATAACCTGGGCTCACATGGGCTCAGAGAGACTGAACCGACAGTCAGGGAGCCAGTTGACTTTGTGCTGCTGAGCTGCAGCTCGTGGTCGGACTGGGTGCCGTGGCTTTTTCTGTCTCTACCATTTCTTCTCTCACCGTGTTTTTTAAACCTCTGCTGCCTTTCAGCCGGGGAACAATGAAGCAATAGAGATAGCAGCAGCCATGGGAGAGTTGGGGACTGAGTAACAGGGAATGAGATCAAATATGAAGTACCATATAAACATTATGATACAAAACCTGTGTTGCTGGAAAGATGACTAACCGAGGCAATGGCTTTAATTGAATTAAAGTACTAGAACGCCATTTATCATTGAGTTAAAAAAGTGGGTGTCAGGTGATGTGCTGGGAGTGGGGGGTGCAGGGCACAGCCTCCACAAATTACTTTTCCATCTCCCTTCTATAATTCTGATTCACTTCTGGAAACACATTTAGGCTCCAGGAATTTGGCAGTAACAGATGTTCTCAGCCCCAGCACTCTGCAGGAGCAAAGTTAACTGTGAAGTCTGTTCTTAGTTTTTGGATATGTAGACAAGAGCACACTGCTTCATGGCAATCATTAAGAACTCTATCATGCTGGGGATACAGCTCAGGAGTAGAGGATTTGCCTGGCATGCACCATGTCTTGGGTTTAATCCAGTACCCAAATAAGAAACTGTACCTCGACTCTTTCAGTGCGTTTAATGTTTGAGCGCCATCCTTCTAACCCAAGCTTCTTGGTCCACCTCATCACACCATCCTCAGAGGTTGAGGATGAGGCTAGCATGCAGTGTGAATTGCAGGTGCAGCTCCGGGTTCTGCTCTGCTGCGGGAGATGCAGAGCAGCATGGTTGAATAACTGGGCAGTTGTTCACCTTTCAACATTATGGAGAAGATCTTATAACACACAGCAAGGTCAAGCACACGCAGTGTCTTCGTGTGTGTTTCTTCAGACATCTGCCAAAAAAGAAGGAAGATTAAATCTCTTCTCATTGTTCTGTCCCTTTGTGAATTTTCATGTTATGCAGATTAACTTCCCTCGGTCAATAAACACCCTTAGCTTTTCCCACACCTCATTTCCATCAGACAGAAGTATGTGCCTAGATGAAAACTGATTGTGGCACGTGGACTCCTCTATGCCGGGAGAAGCTTAGATTTGACAGTGACACGGTGGCTGGAATTTGGAG